TTTTACCTTTCATTATACAGGGAAATTTGTGTCAATTACATAATCGTAAAGTATTTGTACATAGTAAAGTAATTTTCCCGTGATATATTGCTATACACGTCACTCTGGTTATACCGATATCTGGATATAACACATCATAGCAAAATTTTACTATACCGATATAACCAGAGTGTCGTGTAATTACAAATTCAATAAATAGTATTTTCTATTGTATTTTTTATGAATTTTTATCGTGTCTTTTATTACTCATATCCAAAATAACTTCAGCCCTATTTTGTTGATATAATCGAAGCAATATATTATTGTAATTAAATTATTGATATTTTTGACTTGAAAATATTCTTATCAATTATACTGTTAACTTACCGTCTATTTCGATATTGTTTTATTTTTTAAAAAAATTATTATAAAACCATTTTATAATATTTTCTCTTCATAATGGGCTTATAACTAGTAATTGTAATACTGTTTTTTACAAAAATTACCCCAAAATATTTTTAGCAAAAAAACATTGTTATAATATTACAGCTACTAGTTATAAGCCTGTTCTAAAGAGTAAACCATTTTATAACAGTTTTTTCAACCCATGTTTATTATATTTTTATATTAATTTTTTATTATAAAAATAACCAATTTTTTACAAGTTTTTTTGTAAAATATACTGTTAACTTATATACTATTTTAGTGTTTAATTGTATTGAAATAACTGAAAAATATAATATAAAAAATATACTGGCCAATAATTTGAAAATATCTTATAAAATGTATTTTTAGAGTCAAAAAATTTGCATTGAGCCATCATGCAAGATCAAAATCAAGGTTAGAATTTTGAGAAATTCCCCATTTCATGACCTTATCACAAATGTTTCTTGTAAATTGTCTAGTTTCAAAAGCATAACCAAGGCTTTTTCTGAAAGATCAGTATAGTCTTCAGAACACCTGAATATTTAGCAATGAACCTTAGCAAACTTCCTACACATCCACAATAAATAATTATTAACCAAATATTCTTACTTAATAATTAATTTCAAAATAGTGGCAGAAATACGTGATGTACTGATTGTTTTAATATTCTTTTCAACGTAAATTACTCAGCCAGCTTTTCACAAAGATAAAAACATCGAGAATTCAAAATAATTGAATATGCATTAAACATTTAACGGTTTGGTATTTGGCTGACTTCAATTAACACATAATAATCTTCACCATTTTCAAGAAGATTTGTTAAATCACTAGAAAGTTTTCTAAAAAATTTTATAGTCATTTTGCGCAAAGAACAAATGTTGAAGGAATAAAAATAATGTTAACATTAAAAGCTTTAAATGCATCATTTATTTTTTTTCAATTCAACAATTTCCTCTTTACATTTTAATTTAACATTTTTATTTTTAACTTTTTACTTGTATTGACTAACATAGTATTTTTTTGAAAAAATTTTTTATTGAAATTTTTTTAAATTTTTTTTTGATTATACAATAAATAATTATGCAATAAATACTCACATAAGAATCAATCGTGCGATTTTATTCAGGGGCAACAGGAATATAATAGCTAATTTATAATTTCAGAGTTAAAGCAAAGAAAAACAAATAAGAACAAAGTACGTAGCGCCAATCGATAGAGATCGATATAGGCATAATATTACATGAATATTATTTTTACTATATATAGTATCCAGATATCTGAGCATCTATCTAGTTGCTAAAAATAATTATTTGATATTTGTTCCAACTTCTAACTTACAAAGCACAATTAGAAACACCAGCATAGAATCCTTTCAATTTAGGAATTGCTAGTTGAGAATTAGTTGATAGTTCTAAATGTTTCACACCTGACTTTTCTGTGCTGCATACATAGTACAGTTGTCCGTTTCCATCATCCTTGGGCATATTGTCTACGCAGGCTCCGAATAGTGATTCGTCTATGTTGCCTAATATTAAACCAGTAGTCTGACCTATTGTTCCAGCCCAAGTAATTTTATATATTTGTGATGTTAAGAATACTGTGCCACCAAATATTAAAATTAGCATAATTCCAGCTATTGCGATGTTCACCGAGTTATATACAATTGTACTATGCATATATCTTAATGTTGATGCATGTATTCTAAGACTAGTTCCTGGCCAAGAATTTTGTACATAAAATAATACATTTATTGCAACTTGTATCCGCTGGATTATGTAAATTTTTGAGAGATCCAATCCACTGACATCAAAGCCTGGAACAGTCTTTCCAGTTATAATTGCATCTGCTCCATCTATCGGTGTTAAACTGAATACACGATTATCTAGCCCATATATCCCACCATTATTTTCCATATTACGAATAATCGCTGCTCCTTTTGTTGTATCAATTCCTATTGGTCCGCAGTGAAGGTTTGATAAATTAGTTATATTCCAAGCTTGTACTGGTTGTCCGGGTGCTATAGTCTATTCCATTGTACCATTACATAATTCCATACTGATCTCCATGTGATGGTGATTTGGCGTGCAGTTTGAAAACACATCAATTACTATTGTGTCTCCAATAAGTGTTATTGTATCATTCCATGTATTAGAATTGAAATTACCATTACAATTCACTACAACAGTTCCATAAGAACTCCACCCATTCATGTTTAGCGCGTTCTCAACTTCTATGCGCACTATACCTTGCGCTTGCGCGTTCAAATTCTTCGATACAACATTATGATCATTTAAATTTGGCGATACAATTTTATTTAGGGTGTTTGCATTGATGTACGGGCGGTGTGGTATAGAATATATCACGTTTTTATCCTCTTGCCATATAAATGTTTGTAAAAATCCCCAGTTATCGAGTGTACTCGAATCAGCTGTTGATGCACCGTCAAACACTTCATTTATTGCCGTGTCTGTTAAACATATTGCAAGATTGTTACCATCGCAATTAGCCGTTTTAAACAATCCCCACCAATAGCACTAGTGTTTGTGATATTATTTTCTACTCCATAACTATCACCTAATTGTACTCCAAACTTATAAAATATTTCTGTTACTTATATATATAATTTTTTGAAAATAAA